ATTTTTTTTTTTTTTTTTTTCTCCTCTTTTTGTCTCCTTTTTTGTCTCTTTTTTTTTCGTCTCCTTTTTTATTGTCTCCTTTTTACAGCATTTAGGCCATTCGTAAGTTTATTAGCTGTCTTTTTTTTTTTGTCTCCTTTTTTTTTGTCTCCCTTTTTTTTGTCTCCTTTTTTTTTGTCCTTTTTTTTTCTCCTTTTTTTTCTCCTTTTTTTTGTCTCCTTTTTTGTCTCCTTTTTTATTGTCTCCTTTTTTATTCTTATAATAAATAAAATAAATAAATAAAATAAATAAAATAAATAAAATAAATAAATAAAATAAATAAAATAAATAAATAAAATAAATAAAATAAATAAAATAAACAAAATAAATAAAATAAATAAATAAATAAAATAAATAAATAAATAAGATAAATAAATAAATAAATAAATAAATAAATAAATGTATGTGTATATGTATGCAGGATTTTAGATATTTTTCCTTAATAAGATTAGGTGTCTCCTTTTTGTCTCCTTATAGATCTTCTTTGTTGTCTATACATACAAATGCAGCAAATATATCTTTTTTGTCTCTTTTTCCTCTTATTTATTCTTCTTTTATGCAGTTATTTGCTGCTATTAGGTGTATAGGCACCTATTTCTTGTTGCATATAGCACACCCTACCCTAGCTAACAGCAGCAGCAGCAGCAGCAGCAGCAGCAGCAGCAACAGCAGCAGCAGCAGCAGCAGCAGCAGCAGCAGCAGCAGCAGCAGCAGCAGCAGTTCAAGCTCATCTGTATATGTGGGGTCAAAACAACCAACAGAAACAGCAGCAGCAGCAGCAGCAGCAGGAGATCCATCATCAGCATCATCAGCATCAGCAGCATCAGCAGCAGCAGCAGCAGCAGCAGCAGCATATAGATATAAAATGTCTCCTTTATTATATATAAAAAGACAAGAGATCCAATTGTCTCTTCTTGTTGCTGCTGCAGATGCTGCTGTTTGCTGCAGATATATTTGTTTATTTAATTATTATAATCTTCTCTTCTCTTTTAAGCCTCAGCTGTCTATACAGCATGGACTTACTGCTAAGGTATTTGCTGCTGCTGTTGTTGCTGCTGCTGCTGCTGCTGCTGCTGTTGCTGTTGCTGCTGTTGCTGCTGCTGTGGTGGTGCTGCTGCTGCTGTTCTGCTGTGCATGATGGTGTTGTTGCTGTTGTTGTTGCTGCTCATCATCATATCATCATACTGCTGCTGCTGCTGCTGCTGCTGCTGCTGTTGCTGCTGCTGCTGTTGCTGCTGCTGCTGCTGCTGCAGGTTCAATGGACAATAGGTATAGGAGGTAAAGGAGGAATAAATAATATAATTTATTTATTAGAGGGAAAAAAAGAAGAAATAAAAATTATTATTAAATGCCAAGGAAAATGTCTATCTTTTACCCTCCCTATACACCTCATTGGTACTGCAGCAGCAGCAGCAGCAGCAGCAGCAGGAAATACAGCAGCAGCAGCAGCAGGAAATACAGCAGCAGCAGGAACTGCAGTAGGTAATGCTGCAGGAATTGTAATAGGAGCAGGAGGTGCAGCAGGTGCAGCAGCAGGAGGAGCAGCAGGAGCAGCAGCAACTGCTGCTGCTGCTGCTAGAGAAGGATTAAGAGCAGCAGAGTTGCTGCTGCTGAATAATCCTTCTTTTTTTTATGTTTTTCTTTTCTTTCTTTTGTCTCTTCCTCCTTCCTTATTATTATTTATTAAAGATCCTATTACAGGTATTACCTCCTGCTGCTGCTGCTGCTGCTGTTGCTGCTGTTGCTGCTGTTGCTGCTGTTGCTGCTGTTGCTGCTGTTGTTGTTATTGTTGTTGCTGCTGTTGTTATATATTTAGTATACATGTATATATATACGTGTGCTGTTGTTGTTGCTGCTGTTGTTGCTGCAGTTGCTGCTGCACCGTTTCGTGCTGCTGCTGCTGGTTGTTCTTTGCTGCACTGCTGCCTGCAGCGTGGTGTAGCAGCAGCAGCAGCAGCAGCAGCACGAGCTGTACCTCTACAGGAGCGTTTGCATGCATTTTTGCGGGCATGTCGTGGCATTCCTGCTGCAGCATTATTGCAGCAGCAAGAGGAGCAGCGGCAAGCTGAGGCAGCAGCAGCAGCAGCAGCAGCAGCAGAACTAAATAGAGCAATAGGGGAGCAGCAGCTGCTGCTGCGGGAAGCAGAGAGCTTGCTGCAGCAGGAAAAAGAAAAAAAAGGATTGGTGCTGCTGCAGGCATTCTATGGACCTTTAGATGCTATTGAACGATCTAAAGCAGCAGCAGCAGCAGCAGCAGCAGCAGCAGCAGCAGCAACAGCAGCAGCAGAAGAAAACATACATTTAAATAGTATAGCCAGCAGCAGCAGCAGCAGCAGCAGCAGCAATACCAACAACAACAGCAACTCTTATACTATCAATATAAACAAGGAAAACAGCAGCAACAACAGCAGCAGCAACAGCAGCAGCAACAGCAGCAGCAACGACAGCAGCAGCAGCAGGA